CGAGTATGTCATCCTAACAAAACAGGAATCACCCTTGGTAAATCAAATAAACAAGTAATGAATGTACACGCCTATTTTATATTATCTTACAGCTTTAGAGAACGCATCAATCACTGAAGGTATAGATTACAACAACGATCAGTGAGTCTCATACTCTTATCCTTCCGGTGGTCCTGTTCAATACATAACATAAGTACTAGTGTAATTCTCCAGTCAAGGTCAACTGAATCAAGAATACACTACAGTCTTTTTCCAAGTGGGGTCTCACTGCCAGTCTAGACTGTGAACAAATGATTTAGTCTTACAAGGAACGATAGGTGACCTTTTTGTTCGAGACCACGAACCACACTATCTCAATGTACGACAAGGAGTATGATTGCATAAATAAATAAACTGCAAGCACATATATACTTTGACTAAAACATGATTGCCAAATCAAAATAGAATGGCTTAATAGCGGAAAAATACACGACCTTTACTTGATTGGCCATTTAATCATGACTTTCAAACCTTGGCAAGTAAATACACAACCTTTAGATTTTTGGCAACCTAATACACGGACTTAACGTCCGTCAACGGAAAGCTGACGGGGTAGACGGAAAGCTGACGGGGCATTTTTTTAACGACCACGTCACCAAAAAGCTTGACTTAGCAGGAGCCAAGTCATCACCTACGTGGAAATGTTGCAAAACTATTGCAAAGAGGGGGTTTGAACCTGGTACCACTAGCAAATAAAATATGCTTATAAGCCACTTGGTCTAACACAATTTATGTTAAATATTTGACTTCACTTATTCATATACAAACATCATTTTATGTAATATATTTTTATATATATATTAAATACTTATTAAAAATGTATTATATAAATAAATATATTAAATAAATATTTACTAAATAAATATATTTAGTAAATATTTATAAAATATATTATTCAATAAATATATTTATTATATTATAAAATATATTGTAAATAATATTTACTAAATATATTACAAATATTAATATATTAAATATATTATTAATTATTTAATATATATTATGTTAAATATTTAATATATTTTTAATATATTATAAAGTATTTAAATATATATTATGTAATATATATTACGTGAAATATTTAATATTTATGTAATATATTATTAGACATATATTCAATATATATTATATAAAAATATATATTACATAAATATTTAATATTATTTGTATTCTTTGATAAATATATTTAATATTTATTAAATAAATATATTTATTATATTATGTAAATATATTTATTTAGTAAATATATTTAATATATTATTAATTATTTAATAAATATATTTAATTTACTATTAAATTTTTAATATATTATTAATTATTTAATAAATATATTTAATATACTATTAAATTTTTAATATATTATTAATTCTTTAATAAATATATTTATTGAATAATATATTATATAAATATTTACTAAATATATTTATCTAGTAAATATTTATTTAATATATTTATTTATATAATATATATTCAACGTATATTTTATATATATATATATATATATTTATTTATATAATATATATTCAATGTATATTTAATATATATATATATATATATATTTATTTATATAATATATATTTAATGTATATTTAATATATATATATTAAATATACGAAATAAATGTTAAATAAATATATTAAATAAATATATTAAATATACAAAATAATATATTAAATATATATTAAATAAATAAATATATTAAATAAATATTTACCAAATAAATATATGAAATAAATGTTTAATATTATTTATATTATTTAATAAATATATTTAATATATTCACTAAATTAAAATATATTTAGTATATTTATTAAATAAATATATTAAATATATTACTAAACATTTAGTAAATAATATTTACTAAATATATTATTAAATATTTTATAAATATATTTAATATTTTATTAAATATTTAATATATAATTTAATATTAAACATACTTATTTAATAATATAGAAATAATATTTATTTAATTAAATAATTTTTAATATTTATTTATAATATATATTAAATATTTAATAAATATATTTAATATATTATTAAATATTCAATATATTATTAAATATTAAATATATATTTAACAATATAGAAATAATATTTATTTAATATAACAAATATTTAATACTTATTTAGTAAATATTATTTACTATATTTATTTATATACATATATATATGTACATATATATATGTATATATATGTGTAGAAAATGAAGTTGGTATATATATAAGTGAATTCAAATATTTAACATAAATTGTGGTAGACCAAGTGGCACACATACACCCTTTATAGGTTAAGGGTTGCAGGTTCGAACTCCCTCCTTGCAGTGTTTTTGCTACATTTCCACGTAAGTGATGACTTGCCCCGTCAGCTTTCCGTTAACGGACGTTAAATCCGTGTATCAAGTTGCCAAAAATTTAAAGGTTGTGTATTTTCCTGCCAAGGTTTGAAAGTAATCCGTGTATCAAGTTGCCAAAAATTTAAAGGTTGTGTATTTTCCTGCCAAGGTTTGAAAGTTGTGATTAAATGGCCAATCAAGTAAAAGTCGTGTATTTTTCTGCTATTAAGCCAAATAGAATTATTCATATCTGAAAGCCAAGCTTTTACAGCATATCTAACACCTTCAGACAGAGAGGAATCACTAGTTCATAAACAAGTGGCACATAGAGCAAGTACGCCCATTGAAAAAGACTGCGACAGGGTGGATGTTTGTCGCCTAGTTACTTCAGTAGATAACCAAGAAAATTCTTTTAGAATTGGCTTTCCAGCGAAAGCGGATGATGGCCACGTTAAAGGATTAGGAGCCGGATGTATGGCAGAAAGGACAACAACTCTTTGAGAATTAAGATTGAAAGAAAATCGTGGTTAGTGATAGCCATGAGCTTACTAAGTATAAGTGGGAGATTGTTAGGATATGCTGTAAAAGCTTGACTTTCAAATTCTATCAATTCTATTTTGATCTGGCAATCGTGTTTTAGTAAAAGTATTTATGTTTGCAGTTTTATGCAATCGTAACTCCTTTATTTTACATTGTAGATAGTATGGTTCGTCGTATCGAACAAAAAGATCATAATATCGGTTCCTTGTAAAATATAAACTAATTGTTCACAGTCTAGACAGACAGTGAGACCCCTGTTGGAAAAAGACTGTAGTGTAGTCTTGATTCAATTGATCTTTGACTGAAGGATTGTGCTAGTACTTATGTTAAGTATTGAACGAGACCGCGGATGGATAAGATTATAAGATTTACTGATCGCAGTTATAATCTGGACCTTCACTACTTAATGCGTACTCTAAGACTGTACGATAATATAAGACAGGCATATATATTCCTTACTTGTTTATTTGATTTACCAATGGTGTTTCCTATTCTGTTAGGATGACATACTCGGTATTTTGGTAAATGAGAGTGTTTATATGATGTGTTGTTATAAATTATTTACGGTCACTATATCCTAATGTGCTGGGTTGATGACGTCCTCTAATGAGTTCAGGAAGGAATATTATGTAAAGCCCTGCAGACGGATGTGTATTCGGCCCGGCATAATGATTAATGATCTGAGTGGTACTAGTTTCGGAAATAGATAAGAAGTTGATTAATTATTTTGTCAGTAATTTAATTAATCAACGGATTTTATATCTTAAACAAAGGGAATTAAATCAATCAATTAAATTAATATTAATTTATTAATTGGAGACGAATTAATTATAATTCAGAGCTAAATGGGGAGAACAATAATATTACTCTAGTTGAATGTTTTATTATTTAATTCTATTTAGGAATTAAGAATTAATTATATTCCATAATTTAGATTCCATAAGGATAGGAATATTCCTTCTAGAATATTACCTAAGGTTAGGAGACTATGGAGTCTTCTAGAAGGTAATTAAGGATTAGGAGGAATATTATCCTAGATGGGAAAGGAGATGGAAAATAATTAAGATTTTTAAACCTAATGGGATAAACTTATATTTAGCACCTCCTTGGGGTCCCTATTGTATTGTATAAATACACTAAGTCCCCTAGGCTCAAGAGATGATGAAACCCATGTTTTTTCCACACGATGAGAGCTGATATTTTCGGTCCAAAATATGTGAGAAAAATAGAGTTCCTTCTTTGAAAGAAAATTCGGATAAAACTGAGAGGTCTTAGAAAAAGAAGATCGAGAGGCTTTGGGAAATCCAATAAATTGCTCCACCAAGATTTATTGGTGATCGTATAAGTACTAAGGTCATACATTAGGAGATTCGAAGGTTATTAATTCGGATCCCATCGGATATATTCAACCACGCAGCACCTCCGATGGCCACCAAAACAGGAGAGGACGACCACCGGAGGAAGACGACCTCATCGGAATGTTCAAGGTGACCAGCCACCGCCAGACGCGTCGGTGCCGGAGCCCC